TTTTGGAGGGTTGGGGAGCTGGAGAGCAGAGCTGAAGTTATGTGCTGCTCCGAGCAACCTCCAGAGTCAGTTTGACGGATTTAAAGCTCCCGTCCAGCCGCTCGCCGCTCGCCGCTCGTCTGCTTTCAGCTCACCCCGTGGACGCTTTTGATCTGGTTTAACGGAAGGCCTTTCGGAAGATGCACGAGGGTGGTGAGAATTGTGAATATCTGAATTGCTTCTTGCAGTAAATACGCTCATGGCACTTAGGCAGGGGGTGGTAATAAATTCACAGTGAAATCAGGACAGTAAAAGCCTCTGTTTATACAGCATCCAAGCCAAGTCTTCTAGATAATGGTGTAAGATACTGTTACCTCAGTGTAATGTATGGAACCAACAGAAACATCTCACAATACTCTGCTCTCGTCATAATGTCAGTCTTATCAGTTCTGGATCAAAATGTGTGTATATATATTTTTGAAGGAAGCGTGATCTTGTCTAAAAAGCCACATTTACTCTGATAAGAAACCAAAGACATTTGTAAAGAGGTTATTCCTTCAATGTCGTATATCTGCAACATGTTTTTTTTTAGTCACAGAACCAGATCTATTTATGTCAAAACTAGATTTACTGACATTCATAATCATATATATGTGTGTGTATATATATATATATATATATATATTCATCACGTCTTCATTTCCGTTTATTCAGAGGTTGAAAGAGAAACAAAGCTGGAGATAGAGCTCGTCCTCAGCAGCAGCTCAGAGGGTGATGTTGTCCTCCGCCAGCTTCACTGTCGCTCCCTCTCCATCACCTGATATCTAATTGCTGCGGATCATTATGCCTGTTCTCCACTTAAAACGACCGGGATGCTTTCTGCCTCCGGCCTAATGAAGGAACTTAGCACCAGTTCTCCAGTCAAACACAGTTAAGCTCTTCAGACGGGCTGATAGGTCTGTTGTACTATTGGACAAGTAAGTGAGAGAGGGAGTGAAAGTCACTGTGTTCGGTGTCACGGTTTGGTTCTCAATCAAAAGACTGGTTTAAAACGATTCTTAATTCCATACAGAGATAACTCTTTGAGACCGAGGATGTACGGAGTTTAGTCCAAAGGAAAAAGAGTCAGAATCCTTTTCCCGCTGACCTGCAGATTAAACTAAAAAATAGAAAAACAGAGATGGCAGTGAGAGAATGCAGCTTTTATCATTTTATGTAGTTGCTTTAAATAGAATTGGCCCGGTTATAGACTGAATGCTTTAAATAGCATTTTACAGTCAAAACACTTTCAGGCTTGTATTGCTAAGCCAAGAATTAAATTGTGTAAGTTATTACCACAAAACTTAGTGGAAATATGGAACATGGGCCAAGGAACAACCTGTTTATTGTAAATGTTGGCGTGGATCTGGACAAAGGGGTAAATTCAGGATATTAATTCTATATTTTATAAATTTCTTTAAACTATCCAAATAGAGCTGTTTTGACATCTTAATTAATGTATAATAGTTAATGGTTATGGATGAAAGAAGGTGTGCAACCTACTGAGTGAGATTCTCGTTGTTTGATCTAAAATTCACCCAAAAACCTGAATAAATAAAATAGTCAAAGTATTTATTTAAGATATTTGTTTCTGTGATGATATATCATTTAAAACTGCGGGTTCATGCTGCTGTCTGTGCATCCAGAGAAAGGCTGCCTTCAGAAACACATCGGTTACAAACTGAATGTGCACATTTTCATATCTTATGGTTGATCTGGCATTAATGTTGAAGAGGCCATTATAGCTCGAGCATAACTGTTAGTGAGTATGGAGGTACATTAAGGTGTGATCAAGAACAAGCTTTCTTCCTGCGCTAATGAGTTAAAACGCCAGCCAGCCGAGGAAGAGTGCTGTGCTCACGTCACACGCTCTTCTCACGGAAAACACATTGAAAACAAGAGAAATCCATGACGTTATTTTTAGCTCGGCTCAATCTAGGTTTTCCAGTAAGCCATACTAATACTTTCAGGCTTGTGTTACTTAGGTGCTGATTGAACTTTGAGTCCTTGTAGGATGTGGTCTATAGTGCTGTTTGTTTAAAAGAGTGAAGCATGAAAGGGAGAGAGAGTAGAAAAGGTTCTTAAGATGCAGGAGTGTCCGTACATTAGGCACAAAATCAGCCAGGTAAGCTATTAGTCTGTGGCAGGCTTTTGTGTTCCCGGTAGGAAATGCAACACTAAGACAGTTGGGGAAGATCGAAGGACGTACTTGTGGAGGCGGAGAGAGGACCTGGTGGCGTGAGGCAAACAAACAAAGAGTCACAAGTTTCTGTACTAAAGAATAATTAACAGAGGAAATAATAATGCTGAATAGGGGAAAAGACAAATTAAGACAAATAAGAAAATACAGAAGAAAAGCTGTTCTACTTGCCTCTCAAAGTTTCTTTCACTTAATCTTATCTTTTGAAAAAAACAAATACGTAAGCAAGTGTATAATCTGGATGGGTGCTTTAAATAGGGGGCATCTTAAAGTCAAAAACCTTTTAGTGCCTCTGACACAGCTTTAATTCTACACTCACACAATAGGAGCAGAATGGGAAGAAGCAGAAAACTTCTGGTTATACCATCAAATGTATTAACATTTAGATTATGAACCAACAATCGGGGCTTTGCAGTCATTTTCTTCTGTAGTTATTTTCTCATATATCAAAATCTGGACATTTTACCAGTGAATATGAACAATACGGGATGAACGTAACGGAGCTGTGATCCACCGACGATGTAAAAACTTCTCACACAAGAAACCACAGTTCCTTATTGTTCCCCAATGGAAGGACCGGACAGATTCTCTAAAGGTTAACGTTAACAATTAGGGAATAAACGCAGCAGCTGGGACTCCTGTTGACATATAGAGTTATATATAATTCATAGATATATCACAATGTTCAGACGAAGGGATGGTTTGTCAAATCCCCCTCCCCCACTACACGTGCTACGTCAGACTCGCTTACAAGTCAGCGTTGAGCATTGCACGATTAAAAAACTTCTTTCATTTCACTGAAATCACAAAAGATTCAAAACAAAACTTATGCTCCAAATAATAAAAAGGTCGATCCTCAGTCGTAGTTCGACTTCAGGTCTATCATTTTGAATTCACGATAGATTCTTATTTTATCTGGACCCAGTTCTTCATTTGATATGAAATAACAATAAAATGGTTCTTCAATGACACATAGGCTTAACTTGACAATTTAAAATCAACTGGGCACTTCCAATAAGAAACCCACTAAAGCACTGAAACCTCTAGAATAAAGACGTCCTGTATATCTAAAGCAGGAACCAAGATTTCAGTACATCAGGGAGGACATAAATAACTTCTGCTGTATTAACAACTCTTCATTTCTCCAGGGGGAAACATTATCTCCTAATATTAGACTGAACATTATTTTGACTCCTACATTATTTTCCAGCATTATTGATGAACAAACACTACTTACTGAAAGAGAACCATGCTTTTGCATCACGGCCCATTAACTGCAACAGCCGGCTTATTTCAACTGCTCTGGGCCAACAATATCTCATGATGCGGTAGACGAATAGCAATGGAACAGTAAATAGTCGAAACCATTCCATTCCTTTTCTTTTATTGCCCTAAAGCTCTGTCTCTATTACCAGACAAAGGTTTAATGGTCATTAATGTCCGAGACCTGTAATTAGCAGAACGGCAAACGAGCACAGAGTGACCGGAGGTGGTGGAAAAGGTTTGTGTGCTCGGTACAGTAAATAGAGGATGTGTTCAAAAGACATAAAAACTAAGTTCATTTCTGTTTTTGGCAAAAAAAAATTGACTGTGTACGAATATGGACTGAAAGTGCAGCCAAATAATTTTGATCTCAGTGTTTGGCTGCCTCCTCCACGTTGGCAGATGGGATATGAGCCAAAATATACTGTATGATAAATACATATTGATTCCAAATTACATTATGCAAGATGCCGTCCGACATCTGTGTTATATCACCAAATAATTTAAAATATATACTTAGAATTTTTAAAAGGAGAATGGGGGACCAGCTTGTTTCTGTTTTATTGACAGCATCGCCACACAGCAACAGTTCGAATAAATAAATAAAATAAAAATAATCAAGGTTGATCATCGATCCAATCGTTAGAAGCAGAGGCAAAGATTGCAGTCATTGATCCTCTGTCGTAACCAACTGTGCAGATACAACTCCAAACCAAATCATCCAAAAAGTAATACAGGAGAGTGTACGCAGAAGAAATGTAGTGTGGCTCAATAACTACCTCTGCCTGGATTACTCCACATCAAAACTAAATGATGGCTGTAAAATAATGGATGCTGATGCTGCATACATACATCAAAATGCTGCCTGTATACGATACAATAACTGCCTGTAAGCTGTATTTAAAAGACTCAAAAAATAAACAGCTCCAGTCTCACATTCACATTTGTTATTGTATTGTCTGATTTCTCCTTGGAATCACAAGGCAATCAGTAGATGTCTGTGCTGTGGCTCGTACAGCTGCTACTTCCTTGCATCTGGGATTGTGTGGCTTTCTCTCTGAATGGTAATTATGAAGGGAACAAAAGGGACGTTTGGAGACAAAGGCGTGTTTTGGAGCGAATAGGCCAGCTCCTGTGCTCGGCGAGCGGTCCGACTCCGCTGTGTCAAGACAGACGATATGTAGGAATCACGCAGGAGAACATGCAGCAGGAAAGGGGGGGGGGGGGGGGGGGGGGGGGGGGAGCACGGAGAGGGATGGGGTTGGCAAGGTCTCTACAGCAGAGAGCACCATCTGCATTCTGCACGGGTGCTGTCCCGTCTGGCTCGCTGTTGCCTTTAATGAAAGCTGGTGCTGAGACACAAATGCATTCAGAGGTACAGTAGACGCATTCACCAACTGGCACTCACACACACACGCATGGTGGGGGGGTGTAGATGTTACAGACATGATGCATTACTGCCCGAAATGAAATCATAACATCACCAGGATATTTTAAAAAATAGACCTGGTCATCTTACCTCTCTGATCTTGTCTCGTTTCTCTTTGACGTCAGGCTCTGGTGGCTCTCCGTCACTGACGCCCACCACCTTAGGCATGGGGACAGGTGGCAAAGGTTTAGGCCCCGGATCCTTCTTTTTCAGGTCCTCCATCACTTTGTTTTTCTCTGTCTGGATCTCAGCCTGCAGCTCCTCACGTGACTTTCTTAGCTTCTCCTTTGCCTCCTGCAGCGCTCGCTCGTGGTCTGCCCGTATCTTGTCCCGCAGGTTCTCCTCCTCCTCCCTTTAGGAGGCAAGGAAACAGGCAGGGGGTGAGATTTGTTTTTATTCTTTGCTCTTTCTTTGCATTCCTATTAGCTCCCATGAAGTGGATGCTGGTCTTCCCAGGGTGCACATACAAAGTTATTTTAACCAAGGCTGACACAAAACAGCAAAAAAAACATTGGGAGAAGAAAGGTGTGCAGAGGGATTTGTATTCAAAATTAATTAAAGATGAAGGTTTGAGAGCAAACACGGACCCTTTGGGAAACGGTTATTCCACTGCAAGGGAGACGAAAAGTTACCACAGCCGCAAACTCAAGTAGGTAGAAAAGGGGTTAGCCTCCCAGCACTGGTGCATTACTTTTGGCAATGCAGTGAATTTCATATCATCGTCATATAACAAATCACGGAGGTCACTTTTATTCCTTCCTCCTCCACCTCTCTGTCTCTCTGTGCTGCACTCGAGGAAGGGGGGGCAGACGTGTCTGTAGTTTGCATCTCTTAAGTGAAACCTCGCTCTCCCAGCCCACAACTCCTGAGTCAGTTCCATGAAACACGAGAGGTGTAGAGGAACACAAGGAGGAGCCAGACTGAGATGGAGCCCTCATCTGTGGTTTCACTTGTTGGTACAAAGCCCCAGGGTGTTGATTCAACTCAACCCGGCGAGGATGTGGGTCGCTTATGAAAAACGAACACGGCAGGGCGCTGAAGCAAAGGTGACGGCAGGACAGTGACGTTGTGCTGTTCTGAGAAATACTTAATCTTTGAATCTCTAGTGACCAACAAATGAAAATACACAATCACAGTCACAATAAACACAGTTACAGCTGAGCTCCAGGTTGATGAAAGGCAGCTCAAACATCTGTTACATAAAGAACCAGGAGATCAAATCCTTTGTGTTCCAGTTGGACCAAACTCTGCATCTTACAAATCAATGCATAGGTCAAACCCTGTGTATACATGGTCTTCGGTTGACAGGTGCAGTGTGGGAGGAGGGAAGATAATTTAAACATGGTTTTATTGCTTCAACTGTTGTTGGTTTAAAATAATCCTAAAGCAGCAAACTGGATTTTTCTGCTTTGTTTAGTCTTCAAATACATTTTAAATCAATATGAATAATTTCAATAGGAATATTCATGTTGCACTAGGCTACATGCTACATCACCAAACATCACAATGATACGAACTGAATGAGAAGGAAGGGAAGAATTCCCCTTCACACTAGAGTTGCCCCTCATGTTTTCATCTGTCCTGCTGTGTTGCTTAAGTTGCCGTGGTGAATTACAGCATTAGAACTTGCTCGATGTGAGTCGCAGAATTCAACATTTGTTAAAAATCTCCTGAGTGAAAATATGTGAGTCTGTTTATCAATGACCTCCCATGTGATTAACACAGGAAATGTGGGAGGAACTGATGACCTGCTGCGATCTGTGTGGACTCAGCTGCAAGCCTCCACAGTCACATCTCTGGAGAGAGGAGAAAACAATACCGAGAATGAGTGTGTGTGTGTGTGTGTGTGTGTGTGTGTGTGTGT